TTAGAGGTTTGAAGCTTTGTAATAATTAAAGTAAATAAAGCAAGAGTTTATATAATAAAATTATTGTTTTCTAACCAAAATAATAAAGAACTCATTTTTAATTCTTAAAAATATAAGAAAATAAATAATTGGTCTTGTCATTCAAAAGGTTATTTGATTTGGTAATTTTTATTTTACTAATGGGTTTTCCGCGATTTGTAGGAGATGTAATATTTTGATAACATGTATGTGGTGTGTAAGTGTATTCTATTTTTATATCGGAAATTTTGGATTTTATACTAAATATTTAACTGATGTTTGTGACTTGTTTAAATTGTTATGTAATTCGTGGGTGGCTAGAATAAAGTGATGCAGCTTGGAAATGATTTATGTATTATCAGATGTTGGCTATTGAAATACATGAGATGTTTGCAATGATTCATATGTTTTGTATATTTTTTTCGGACCATCATAACAATTTTTTTATTTAATTATTTTTAATTGGTTCCATAAAATACGATGGTGCTGCACCTTCTGTTGGTTTAATTTGGTCTAGTTTTTTGTTAGTCTAATAATAATTGCATGTGGGATTATATTCTAGATTTGGGTTGTATAGTTGTGCCATTGTCAAATATGGATGTTTATATGGCTTATTTTGTTTTGTTGGGACATGTTATGTGATGTTGATCGCTACGGCATTTTGTTAGCGCACGAATCAAGTGATTTAGCAAGTTTGAGAGTTCTTGGTTTTGATTTTGTATTTCATGGAGTAGATGTGTAACTGTGTGGTGGTCAGTTATATAATGATTCTAGGAATATTTCGTGTCAACTGTTTATCTTTTATCTTTGAACTATGAAATTATATTAACGATGGTACGTAACTGAACATATGTGTATCAAAGTATGTACATGATTGTTGTGAGACCCAATAACTTTCTTTGAATCAAAGGCGAAATAAAGAAGTAAACGTAAACTACGTAAATCTGTACATAAATTATATGAAAAAGATATTTTCACATCTGCTTGTAATAATAACATTTGATGCAAATGTAGTCGAGATTTTTAATGTGTCAGCTAGGTGGAAGTTTGTTGTCCTGAAACTTGTTCGTGATTGTTGTTGTAACCTCAATAACTTGGCATAGGCATAAGGGTTCATTTAGTTTGAATTATTCGGCTCGAATTCGGCTCAACAAAAATTATACTATATTACTCAAACTAAATTTTGGTTTGGTACTCTGCTAGTTCAATTTTTAAATTCTTTCCTAAGTTTTTGTTAGGTTTTTGTTAAAAATTTGAGTAAATTTGGTTAATTTCGCTTAGTTTGGTCAGTTGGGATTCACATTTTATTTTTATTGTTAGTTCAGTTTAATTTTTGTTTGGTTTGGCTATAATTTTTAAAAGAAAACTGAAGTAACTATATGTTTGAAATAGGTCTTGGCGTTCGGGTCTACAGGTGGGGTTCAGACCGGTTCATGTCAGATCCGGATCTTTCAAGTATAGAAAAATCTGATTCAATAGGTACTTGTGATTTTTGGCTAGGTTTCAGATCGGTTCTTACTGGGCCCATGTCATTCTGGTCCAGAAATCAAAACCATGTTGAAAAAAACTATTAATATCGGATTCTAACGGGTACGGTTCTAGGTTTCTTTTTTGTAAAATTCTTCGGTTTTTAGATATTATAGATAAAATATAACTCAAAACCTTTACCCAATATTTTTAACATAAACCAGTGAAAATATAAATCTAAACAATTATAAAACAAAGATTCATTTTAAAAATTTGTTAAATCATTAGAAAAAAATAGAACAATATAAACCAAAAACACAAGCTTTACAAACATAAACATTAAGTGGTATGTAAACGTATTTTTCTCTATAATCCATAACCCCCGAGAGCCGCCTGAATAGAAGAGAAGACACTCAGAGCACCCCTATCAAGGGTTGATGGGGGGAGTTCACACGGAAACCGAGAAAAAAAATATTAAAATCAGATTTCTATGAATCCTTCTCTCAAAAGTTCACCGCGGTGAACCCCGATGACCCCGGGTTCACCACGTATCAACATATGATTGGTCCAAAATTAATTTTTTATTATTATTTTTTTTTAAAAAAAAATAAACGAAAATAAAAAAAAAATATTTTTTTATTTCTATGAACCCCAAGGGGGAGTTCATCAATGTGGGTGCTCTCAGATTTTAAGACTCACATCACTGTTTCACGTGCTTAGATATACACAATTATCAATGTTTCTTTTGCCGATTCATACTATATAACAGATTACTCAATATATGCTATTATTATGATTGGATAAAGATAGAAAATACCAAAAGATTCGACATTGCGGTAATCCATAAGTAAAAAGACTATTCTTCCTGTTCATGTCGAAGCTGTGATGTCCATCGATGGAAATGGAGATATTTATTGTTAGGTTTTTTCTCTGTTACTTTGAGGTTGTGATAAAGTCGGGAAGAATGGATTAATTATGCACAAGCTGAGAGTAAAGTAGTTATTAATATGGATGTGAGACGATACCGAGAGGTGGTAGTCGTTCTTTGTAACTTTGGTCGACGGAGAGACAAAGCTCTTATGCAAGAAGATGTTAATCATATTCTCATAAACCTAAATTACTAATCTTTACAAATAAAAAAAAGAGTCAAACCTAAACCAAAACTAAAGTCCAATCGAAAATAATCTTCAATAAATAATAACATGACAAATATCATTTTGGTCCTAAAAAAAACTACTTTATTATATTAGATTTAAATATTATATAAAAGATTCAATGATTTGACCATTTTATCTAATTTTAAAGAATTGATCAAAATTTTAAATTTAGAAGTTTGGTTAATAAAAAATTTAGAAGGTATAACTACTTTTTTGTTGGGAGAATTTCAATTATACCACTTTGGTGGTACCACTTTTCATGTTTACTATCAACAAAGAAATATTTTCAAAAATACACATTTTATTAAAGGATAAAAGACTCTTATATCCTTATTCTTTATATATATATACATAAAATAAATATTAAATAAAATATTAACTCTAAACTCTAAAACATCAATTCTAAACTCTAGACCCTAAAAAATGAACCCTAAACCCTAAAAATCAACCCTAAACCCTAAAATATCAATTCTAAACCTTAAACCCTAAACTTTAAACCCTAAAAAGTAAAGCCTAAACCCTAAACCCTAAAAAATCAACACTAAACCCTAAACTATCAATCCTAAACCCAAAACCCTAAATTCTAATAGTATTTTGAGTATTAATATTTTAATGGTAAAGTTGGTTAGTATAAAGTTGAAAAGTGATATCTTGAAAATGTTATTTCTGACAATTTCCCTTTTTTGTTTGATAGTTTAGTTTTTATTTGTTTTTGCTGTGTGAGCGATCCTAATTATTTTAATATTTTTTAAAGCATAATCATTATATAAATTGCGTACGACACTTATTAATGTTGGCACTGCATAGTTCCTTTTTTTGTTTTGTTCAAAGGCACTGCATAGTTCC